ATATATATATATATATATATATAAAATACAGTCTTATTAATTAAGTTAAAACAAGGGTGATCATACATCTCAGTTGCTTGGAACTCAGTTGCTTGGAAAATTGGTTGTTCTGGCATAATTGTTTTTTTAAAACAGAATATGGTTATATTTAATGCACAAGTTTGATACAACCAAAAAGTAAAACACCAGAGTAAAATAGTAACAAAAAACATGGTATTTCATTTGCAATGCATGAGAAATGATTAACATCTTTAGTCATAAACAAGCTCTTAAAACCCAGTGACACTATAATAATGGCATAATTATTATTAGCACACCTTTTCTCTTAAACATGTCTAGCTATGGTCATTAAGTTGTGATCATTCTAAAGTTTCCCACACATTCATCCCCCTGACTGTATTTGGATAATTTTTATAAGCCTCTTTCCTTGAGATACATAATGGGTCAATAAGTGTACAGCTAACTAGAGACATTCTTCTGCATTGTTCCTGCAAATTTGTTTCCAAGCTGAGGATTCATCTCTCCTTAGTGCTTTATGTACTGCCCACATGGGCTCTTAACCTGGATTCTCTACAAAGCAACTGTTTTTCTAAATGTGATAGTCTACTAACATTGTAATATGTGAAAGCCTCCCAAAACTCCAGATGGTTTTTACAGAATAACTGCACTGCCTTCCAAAAGCTGCTCTTTTTCCCATGCTCTTTATGCCTTTGAAGGAACATATTTTTTCTTTTTGTGCTTTCTTGCTTTTATTCATTCATCTTATTCTTTTCTTTATATCTTTCATCATCATCAACTCTACGAGTAGCTGACAAGCATTGCTCTGCAGAGCTACGAGAGCTTATAGGTGTCTTCACCTATCAGCTCTACGAGTGCTGGGGCTGGGGAGAAGGGAAAGGAAACCAAAGAGGCATATTATCCCTGTCTGCCTGAACCGCCTGAGCCAGGGCAGCTCCAAATCAGACTTCAGTATAGAATGCCATTTGAAGAGATTCTGTGGTTATTAAACAATAAAGACACTTGTCTTACTTTGAGTTTCTCGAGACAAGAATTCAAATGCATGCAATTTATTTAGAATGTAAAGAGAATACTGGTAAGGGAGTAATGAAGAGAGACAGGGAAGGGAAGCAGCCACTTGGGAGACCTGTTTATCAAGAAAGCCAACACTGTGAGCGACTGGATTGCAATCCCAGGGGAAACACTAGGGAATGGTAGGAAGCACACTGTCAGAGTTATCCATTCCACAGGGAAGGGAGCTGGGATATTTATATGCCAACCCCGACAGTGTTTGGCTGAGGGCCAGTCCTAAAACTGTAAATTTTCACCGAGTTCACTCTGCCCTGTGCTCTGTACACGGGCACAACAGGCTTCTGAGGCCTGGGGTGGGCCTGCAGGCCATAAGCCATATGGCAACTAGACGTCTGGGCTGTGCATTGATAAGGTGAGGTCCAGGGAGCAGGAGAGGGCACTTCCACTCTATCACTAAACTCAGTATAAATACTTTTTCTTTGCAGGCTAGGTTTTCTCTTGGCCTTATCCTCTGTTACCACCTCATTTCCTTAACTACCTTTGTTGTGTCTCATGCCTTTGAAGCCAACTGTACTTGCCTCTCTCCATTAATAAGTACTTGCTGTGTCCCAGGAGGGAAAATCTCTAAAATTCAATCAGTTCGTGTCAACAAGCATACATTCAGCACCTGCTACTTACAAGGCACTGTGCTAGAGGCTGGGCATTTAATGACAAAGGAAAACTGACAGCGTCCTTGATTTCATAAGATTACAGAGTACGGAAAATAATCCAAATTCATTATTTGTCCAGTACTAAAATCGTAAGCATTTTTCAACTATTATGTTGAATACTCATAATAGCAGCTGCATGGGGATAATCTTCCAATGTGCCAAATAGAGTAATGAGACTCAGAGGGATGAAGTAACCTGTCTGAAGTCACACGGTCCCTACACAGCAGAGACAAGCTCTGTGACAGCCCTTTGAGATTTCAGTCTGTGTTCAGCCAACATGCTCAGGGCTGCTGAGTGCAATCTGAGAATTCTCCTATGCAATGAAATATCCTGGCTGACAATTGGTCTCTTTAAAACAGCATTAAAATTAAGTTTAATTCTTTCAAACACACCAAAAAATAATGTGGATGGAGGGATGATGGATCAATGGACTCATGTATGATGAAACAAGTATAGTAAATTGTTAATAGTAGAATCTAGGTGATGGGAGAATGTGGAACACTGTAAACTTCTTTCTACTTTCCTATGTGCTTAGGAATTTTATAATACAATGCTGGAAAAATTAAGTTTAGCTAAACATCAAATTATCATAAACAACACAAGAGTTGTCATGCTGGCACAAAAATGCTTTTTTGTTTGGTACTTCAATAGGATGAATGGAAACTAAGTATCTCTCTCTTTTTTGTGTGTGTG